CAGTGACATTACAACAGGGGTCACATTGTGATATTACAACAGGGATCACAGAGTGATATTACTACAGGGGTCACAGAGTAATATTATAACAGGAGTCACAGTGTGACATTACAACAGGGGTCACAGTGTGATATTACAACAGGGATCACAGAGTGATATTACAACAGGGGTCACGGTGTGACATTACAACAGGGGTCACGGTGTGACATTACAACAGGGGTCACAGAGTGATATTACAACAGGGATCACAGAGTGATATTACAACAGGGGTCACAGGGTGATATTACAACAGGGGCCACAGTGTGACATTACAACAGGGGTCACAGAGTGATATTACAACAGGGGTCACAGAGTGATATTACAACAGGGGCCACAGTGTGACATTACAACAGGGGTCACAATGTGATATTACAACAGGGGTCACAGAGTGATATTACAACAGGGATCACAGAGTGATATTACAACATGGATCACAAAGTGATATTACAACAGGGGTCACGGAGTGACATTACAACAGGGGTCACAGTGATATTATAACAGAGGTCATAGTGTGACATTACAACAGGGATCACAGAGTGATATTACAACAGGGGTCACAGAGTGACATTACAACAGGGATCACAGAGTGATATTACAACAGGCGTCACAGAGTGATATTACAATCGGGATCACGGAGTGACACTACAACAGGGGTCACATAGTGACATTACAACAGGGGTCACAGAGTGATATTACAACAGGGGTCACAGAGTGATATTACAACAGGGGTCACAGAGTGACATTACAACAGGGGTCACAGAGTGATATTACAACAGGGATCACATAGTGATATTACAACAAGGATAACTCAGTGACATTACAACAGGGGTCACAGAGTGATATTACAACAGGGATCACAGGGTGATATTACAACAAGGATAACTCAGTGACATTACAACAGGGGTCACACTGTTTGATATTTTAAATTTTTATTCATTTCAATTCTATCTAATGCGTTCGCTCATAAGTTTTATATATCTTGATTAAATATTTCTTCATCGGATATACATATATATCATATTCTGCACAGTATAATCAAATCTATATAACATATGTATGACTGGATGACATATATCGGGTAATACATTGTATTACATACTTATTTTTATGGATTACTCTTTCTTCTGTGAGTTATTCTAGATGTAGGTCAGGCACATAAAACATGATTAAACATGTTATGTTTTGTATTTATTCTATATCCAATGAAAATATTTCTAATCGGTTTTTTTTTCTGGAAACTCCTTCAAACAAAAGAAGGCCTTGTAAGTTTTAGTGATCATTAACTTTCAGCATGTATTATACTCCATGTGGTGGAAAAAAGAATATATATTTCGGAAACAAAATAAGTCAATGTTTGCAGAATGAACTCTTAAAAATTTTCGTTGGCACACAGTTTGATATGTATACTGAATTTAAATAAGATGAAGACAATAAGACATATTTTGACAATAAATATAATTATAAATTGACATGAGGAATATGTTGATAGTTTGATTGGGATAACTATCAATAACATAATAAAAGAGTTGATTCTGTGTCTTTCGTTTAAGATTTCTCACCATATAATTCGTATGCAACACAATATAATATTGTTGAACGCGAGATGTTTCATCTTCAGATATTATTATCATTTTTGGTATCTGTAAAGGTATGTTAGCCCAGTTCGAACGTGTTTTGTAATGTATACATCAACGTCGTTGCAACATGTATTTCCATTGTTCTTCACTTAAAAAAAGTACCGAAACAATCCGTTTCTCTAAACTGAAAAGCTATGCAATAGTATAATTTTATATTATATGATATATAAATCAAATTTTGAACCTAAGTGTTAAACATTATCGCTTTTATTTTTGATTTTCAGATGTTTAACATCAATTTCAATACACTGATGACATCATATTAAGGTTTTATTTAAATAATCATCTTTTTATATTGGTTATTCCACATTCGAAGTATCAGTAGCACTACAAATAGTGTCTTTTATTCCAGCTGTCACTTAGAATTAATATCTAGGTTAGTCCTTTTGGTTGTTGTTTGTAATCGCTACACATTAATCTGCTGTTATTTATACTACGTCTGACCGAACCCCATTAATGATCTGTAAAGTTGATTTTATAGTTTCATTGTCATTGAATGAATAACTCTTACTAACTAATAAACCCAAACCCTTTCTTTTTCATATGTTTGTTAATTTAACGTCAATCTTCACTGAACTGGACGATTATTGTATTATAAATAAATCGTAATCATTGTATTGTTGTTGTTGATATATCTATTTAACAATTGAAAACAAAGCTTTTATAAAATATCTATAGTTTATTCGAAAGCCTTACGGATTGATATAAGATAGTCATATGGATTTGCACAAAATATTACTGTAAATGAACATGATTTTGCGTTCACGTTTCTTTAATAAATAAAGTTATTCTAGCCAAAACACAACTTTTATTAGAAATATTTACTTTTGCCATAAATAAGAATGAATTGTATGACCTAGCTTTATCGCACATCTTATAATATAGAATTTTGTCGCATTATCTGTTTTTAAACTTCTATCAAATAAAACTTGAGTTGAAAAATGGTTTTGTTTTTTTTTTTTCGTAAGTTTACATTAAGCAGGGAGCACTAGTGTAAATTATAAGGAATCCTGACACTTTTGAGAAATGTAGTAAATAGAGAAAGCATGGTTTTAAGATTTTACAAAAGACACAAAGAGGAAATGGGGTAGTGCACTAGTCCCGTAATCCAATAAATTTTGTTTCGTGCATATTTGATAATTCTAACACAATGTCAGGTATCTGTGTATTTTCTGAACCATGCAAACCGTGGGTTGCAAATTCCACCAGTATTGTCAACCATATGCAATCTTGAAATTTGCACAAAAAACCCACAATCGAAAAGCACCTTTTATACTAAGGACGGTGCCATTTTGGGCCTTCTGGTGACCATGACGAATACTTTTTTTATCTTTTAAAACCTTGAGGTCAGGCGGTAATGACATGATATTAATCTAAGGTTACAGGGGGGACGAGTGGGGGATCAAATTCATAATAATCATCAAACTAAAATGGGTTTTTTTAGTTTTTTTCTCTTAAATGTCATTTGATGATATATTTCAAAACATGAAATGACAAAAAATTATGCCATTGTTGAAAAGTAGGTCACGGTAATTAAGTGCCCTAATTACTAATTAAGTCACACATGAGCACCGTATTTTGTCTTAATGCGTTTCATTGTTTAACTTCTGACTGTCTTCAGGGGATGATCGTAACATTGCCTTAACTTCTGGTTGAAACTGTCTTCAGGGGATGATCGTAACATTGCCTTAACTTCTGGTTGAAACTGTCGTCAGGGAATGACCGTAACATTGTTTTAACTTCTGGGTTGAAACTGTCGTCAGGGGTCGACATTCAAGAGTCTCCTACATCCACACTATCCATTTCTTTATTTTTAATTACTCTTTCGAGATTTCTCGTCTTATTCAAATGTCTGCTAACCCTTACACAGTGATGTGACCATATTGGATATTCTTTACTCCTTGTTAATATGTTGTATATAACTTACCCAGTGTTCTATCTGGTTACCTTATTCATTAAGCAAACTTATGGCACTCTTCGGTATATTACATGACAATAACGTATTATTATGAAAAGGTATTTGAACAGAACAGGAAATATATAAACATTCACATATATATATAGTTCATAATATTGATTAATGTAGATATGGTATTAGAAAAAGATTTTAAAATTGTGTTATTAAATTATGTGATTAGCACATTTGCTTTTTATCATTGATTTTGAACAATTTTGCATTTCGGTCGGTCACCTCCCACGTTTTAGCAACCATGGTCACTAGAAACATTAGATACAGAACTACTCATGCTACCGTTTCATTTATTGGTTGACTGAACTGTTATTTTAAATTTGTATATATAATTTGATAGGAAGATGTATCAGTTTCATTCTGGAATAAAAAGAAACCCGATATGCAAACTGAATGAATGCGAGTAATTAAAAAAAAAACTCTCAAGCTTTTAAGTAATTCCTTAACAGCTAATTACATAAATATTTTGATGTAATGAAGGATTATTTCTTTACAAATAACTACCTAAGAGCTTGCCTGACATGGCGTTGCTTGACGTGATGAACCAATACAGATGAAAAATGAAGAAAAAAATAACTTTATGATATCCTCAGATAAAGAAATATTTATCATAAATCAAATGACGTTGATGTACAATCAGATCATCCATAATTCTAATGATATTCATTTGGGAAAATATGAAATAATGAAAAATATTTGTGTATATACATAAAAAAAAGTCGCCCGGTAACTAAGCCTTAAATATTTGTCAAATTAAATGAGCTATTTTAAAACCATATATTGCAAACATGCCGTCTTTTATAAAGGGACAGGAACACCTTTACGTATTGCCTGATTGGTTTATCAGATACCAAATGAATTATAGAGAAGAGCGATGCATTTGACTAGATTTCAAATTCAATACCCACAAATTACTTTCCGCACAACCCACTCTGTTTAAGCCTGTCAGTAGCGTAGCGAGGCCTAGATTGAGTTGCATGCTTGGGGGTGCAGGGTGCAGTAGCCTCCTGCTCAGAATCCAGGGGCGAAGCCCCCCAGAAGCTGACGGTTTTTTTTATTACAGCATTGTAATCATTCGGCATTCTTTAAATGCCAGTGCATATTATAAAGAGTTTAATATCACTTTTCACATTTAACAACATTACGATCAAAACTATGGAATAAAAGAAACACAACACAAAATCTTTAAGATTTCAATCTTTTTAAAACGTAGGTTCAAGGGAAGGTTGATCATGTACCATGAAACATCAAAAAGTCACGAAAAATTTTAAAGTGGTTATCTACCACATATATGCAATTCGTTAAAACCAATATACCGAGGATTACAAAGACATTCTAATCCTCGTTATATTGGTTTAAACAAATTGCAACTTTCTTGACTTTGCTGCTGCGAACTGATCAATGACAGAATCTATGTCAATCTGAGAGTCCCGATGATTATGGAGGACAGCAAGAGCAGACAGCCGTTTCGTCGTCATTGTTGTCCGGAGGTAGGTCTTGATTCGTCTCATCGAGCTGAAAGATCGTTCGGCTGATGCAGTCGAGGTCGGCATGGAGAGAAGCATACTCAAGATATTTCTTATGTTTGGGTATAGATCTCGACTTGTCCGATCCAGTATTCCGCAGAGACCTCTTGGTCGGTCCTTTAGCGGAATGGCTTCACATCTGGTTCTCCATCGCCGAATTTCCGTCCAGTAACAGATCTTGTCGGACAGATCTACTTCAAATGCACCAAACACTGAGTTGACGACATCGTCAGTGAGTTGCTGAAGATTACGTGGAAAGAGCGCCTCTGCTTTGAATCTACCTTCGCTTACCAATAGCCGTGTCTTCAGCTCTGAAATCAAGTGGTCAAGATAAACGAAGTACAGACTAACTTTCCAATATTGCCTTGAGTCGGGTATCTGATAGTTTGCACGTTGCTGCTGTAGTCCAGTTTGTCTCGGAACGCAAGGTTGAATACCGTAGTCTGCAGCTATGCTGATAGCCTGGTCAAACAGCTCATTCCAAACATCATCATCCGCTCGTTCATTCCTGAGCGTACTTATAACAGTCCTGATTTCAGTAGCGGCTTCTATGAGGTCGTAGTCTATTGACTGTAGATGGTTGGAAAGCGCAACAGTTCCGCAGAGGATGTGTTCAGTAACGACCAGCCCAATGATATACTCAAACCTCAAAATCGCTGCCAATCTTCCACCTGCGTTCTTAAACGCCTCGAAGCTACTAACAATAACAGTGAATGCAGCCTTGAACGTATGTAAGGCGTCAGCACGACTTGACCATCTCGTTTCGCACAGTGTTCTCAGTTTGGTCCGAGACTCCATTTGATCCTTGGCATTTTGGTCACCGTGCGATATCCTGCACTGTTCCCATGGTGGTCCTGGGAAGAGGAATGAACAAGGGCAAGATTTAACTGGTGTGACTTGCAATGCAAATAGCTGGCATGCGGAGCTGTTTGTCTTATAATTGCCTGTACACCGCGAAATTTTCCTGACATGTTCGATGCCCCATCATACCCCTGAGCCCTTAATTTTGCAATGTCCAGGCCAAAGTTCCGGAGAACTTGTATAATTTTAAGGGCCAAGTCCTCACCCGTAATACTCTTAACATGTATAAAACACAGAAAGTCTTCTTTCACACACATGTACGGTGACTTTTTAATTCGAAGTGTGATTGCTTTGGTGACACGAGACCCCAGTATTTCAATTAATTCGTTCTGTATATCTGGAGATGTGTACTTTAAATTGCACATTAGGGTTGGAGATGTGACCTTGGACGGCAATATCATCTGCACACACAGCATTCAAAATTGCCCAAAATTGCTCTTTTCTTCAGTGTGCCCCCTGATTGCAATATTTTGCCGGCCACACAACAATAACACCTCAATTATCCTTTTCAATATGTGTCTGTTTCTGATGACATCTGCTTTGCGCGAAGAATCGAGCTTTGATGCAATTGAGTCATCCTTTCCAGTCATTATATCAAGAAAATGATCCGCCAAAATCTGACAGCCATGATGAGGTGAGTTCTCTGCTTCATGGCGCTTGACGTAAGTGGAAAGGTTGATCCAGTCATCTACAAGAGATATGCATGGTCTCTCCTTCCCAGACTTGTCTCCAAATATGACGCAGTGCACGCAATAAACTGAATCCTTAGAGACGGAAAAGCGCATTCATGGATGTTCCTTCAACCAGGTGTAGTTGAATCTTCTCTCGCGACCATGTATTTTTCTGAAATAGAAAGACACTGGTATATATCAATCTGTTCGGCTATAACCAACGGAGTCGAAACCCATTAGAGAATAGCTTATTTCCTCATTGATACGTGGTATGTGATAAATAGAATCTTACACTAGTGACTATGTAGCATGTTGTATGAAATTTATCAAACTACACGTGTAGTTTATTACCTCGATATGACCATGCACAAGTGGCATGTAGAATTTTGAACGATTTCTATTTACATATAAATGTATATAGCCAGTCCACTAGTGTAAATCATCTATTTAAAAAATGGTTTTGAATTTGCATATATAGCACGGAAGTGGTATATATTATATCATAAACCATATATGCTTCAACAGAGGGATTCTATGTAGTTGAACTGACTTTTCTGCTGAATTCTAGTTTTAACTCGCACGTAAAGACCTTTTCAAATTACATAAAGTTTTTTTATATTTTTTTTTCCTGAATTTAAAATCAAAATTCACTATTTCTATTTTATATATTGAAATCTTAGTATTTTTTAAAAGGTGCACATAAGGAGCATTGCTTTTTTAACTGAGAAACTGTACAAGTATTAGGAAATTGTATATTGTTACAATATACATATAAGTTATACATATATTATTGTGTTTTCCTTTCCATGATCCTTAATGAATTTATATAATCATTGATACTTTTTATTATAGGTTAGTAGAAAAAAAAGTAAAAAAATATCCTTGGATAAACAGAAACAGTGTCTTAAGGTAATGTAACATAACTGCATGTCATTGAGTTGAGATTGCAGATGGCCAGACTGCTTAATCTCTTAAAGGGGTATGAATACTGTTGAAGGGGTAAATCCAAATCGCATCAGCGTGATTTTATTTACCTATATCCCCTGTATTTAGACATTTCAGAACTATTTATCCCATTATATTGTGGTGTTCCGATTAATCATCAGGGAAAACAACGAACAACAACACCGATGCTAAGGCTTTTAAAATTTCGTTCTGGCAGAACAAAATTCAAATAAACATTTAATTCAAGCGAGAGATATATTTAACCTAACATTAAAATTTTGGTATTTTCTGAAAGTTCCTAACTCGGAGGATGCAGCAAAAAAAAATAACTCAGGTATTATTTGAATAATTGGTTATTTGAAACAAAATGTAGAAGACAGGGGTATATTACATTTCAACCGCAAACATATACCGATATGAGGCACAGTACACAAAAAACAATCACGTATAAACACTATGTGTTTTTAGTGTAGCATGTGTAAGCGCATTTTGCTTCCTATTTGTAATATTTCTATAGTATTGCTCTTTTAATGATTTGTCACTGATATTTCATTGGTTTTAGAAAAGACAACTTAGAGATGCCCAACAAACTTGATATTAGGCCATAATGCTGATTATGTGCTAAGGATTTATCTAACAAAACTTTAGAGCAAAGATCATATATGCCTCTGCTGCGATGACGTATTTTTCGAGAAAGTCAATGGGGCTTACCATAGTGAAAATTATTTTTTTCAAATTTGTTCAAATGTCAGCTTTCTACAACATTTCTTTCTAGTCCAAAACTATCGAAATGACTGTGATTGTGAACATTTTGAGCAATACTACAATATCGATGAAAAGATATTAGTTATATACACTTGTAACGCGTCTCTGTTGGTTGGCGATTTATTTCTTTGCGATGTATACATGTATCAAGGCCGGCCATATATAATTTACAGTTATTTTGGAATAGATTCTACTATTTAAATGGGGAAAGAGCGGCCAGACCGTGCTTGAACCCGGGACCATCTGATCGCTAAAACTCGCATTTGCGAATAATCAATACCTTTGTGGAAATGGAAAGCTGAGCCACTGCTCCCAGGACTCCGAAAAAACTTTCTTCTTTACTTGATCACTTTCTACTTTACATATACCTAGATCAACACCGGGTCCTTCTGTCAGATCATGATGTTGGAGTTTGACTGGGTCTGACCTGTGTTTGACGAAGACGCGACGGCGTCAACATTACGTATATTTTTCGGAACACTTTTCGATCTTTTTCGACATCTCGAAATTTTAGCACTTTTCAACTTCCGACGGGAAGTGTGTCTGGTATTATAAAATTAAACTGGCAGCCTTGGAAGTTCCGGAACATTTCAACGCAAAATATAAAACAAATCGCGAAAAGTGAACCAGACAAATTATCAAATAAATAGATAAATAAACGAGAAAAAAAAAGTTATCTACGCCGCTGCCTGTCTATGTCAGTACGATACAGCGTCAATGACTGTGACTCGGGTTGCCTGGGGACCAGGGGGCGATGTCTATTAGTGACTTCCGCCATCATCTTACTAGGGACGTATAACCTCCAGAGACGTAAAACTTGTACATGTGTTCTGAAGCATAATGATAGATAAAATTTAGTTTGCAATTTTAGGTGGTGAGCAAAACCAAATAGCGAAAATGATACTGAAATATTGATACAGATTCGCAGCTGTTGTCGTCAGTGTATAACGTAATGGTATAGTCTAGGCATCACTATGGTACTTAAATTTATGGATCTGTAGAAATAGAAGATAACAAAAAGGCTGTTACTTTCAGTTAAAGCAGTTGCATCAAAAAATCATCTAAAACGTATTTACTTTGCATCTCGTTTCCAGAGATGGCATCATGGAAATTGACCATTTTGGATTTTGTGTCGACCCTGAACAAGCATGTGATCATTTCCGTACATGAAGTAATGAATAGATCTTGTTCTTTCCAACCTCGATAACGTTGTACAAGAATGTCCCTCCCAGTCTTTCCTTGTAACCATAGTAATCCAGGATATATGTACATTGTTAATATAAGAAGAGTGATTTATGCAACTATAGTAAAAAGGTAGCAACCGAATACACCACGAGTCCTACTCTATTCATTTTGTATCAAGAATATAATTATTCCGTTCAACTTCTATCAAGAGATAATTTATACCATGTATTCCTTTAGTCCTCATCGTCTGTTGAACTTTAAATGTTACAGTATAAGCCTTAAACCCATTTGTACGTAACGTATGATTTATGGAATATATATTTGTCTTAGATTTTCCTGTCTAATGCGTTGGACATCATCAATTAAGTGAAAGTAAACTTGATCGGAATACGGAATTTGGTTTAGCTTTAAATAAAGTGACTGTTTAACTAATACCATGGGGATTTGTTGACAAAATATTACGATAAAACATTGATATAGCTATGTCATAACCCGATAAAACGAAATGTTTAAACATGTTTTGCATATCGCTTCACTAGAATCAAAACAAATAGCAACAGGTCGAGATATCAGTGAGTCTGCGTTTCATAAACTGCTATATAAACATTTGCTACTTACATTGTGGAAGGAAAGTTATCTGTGAAATATCCTGGGCTTATGTTTATGTTTGTTATAATATTACATTGAAATGACTATTACCTTAGATTTCAACATCGAGAAATGAAGAATTCGGCTTATGAATAATAACCTATATCCACAATAAAGCGATACACGCGCCTATAACGTCAAATTTGTTGTTTTTGTACCTATTTTCGGCATCGGGACATTGTTTATCCTAGCTATTGTTTATAAACATGTTCACGCTCGGTTTATCACGAAGAAAGCCGAGTGGCTCCCATGGCTTGTCACTTGACAAAGTCATGTACTTCCGCCGCCGAGACAAAATGGATTACGAGGGAAGTGTAAACAAACGCACATGTCTTATGTATGACACTTGCTTTTGCGCCTTCCTAATAATTCTTGTTTGCAGTAAATGATTCTGAAGTGTTATAATATATAATTTCTAACAATCAATCTCGGTAATTCGTTTTGTTTTGGCGTGCGAGAATTTTCGTTGTCAATCGCGGGCGCTATACTAGTTGGGCCCCAAATGGGTTAATTACAATCGGAAAAGAAAAAATTCATTGTGAAGAAATGCACAGGAATTGATACTTTATCTGTACACACTAATATATATTTTTACCATTCAACATGTGTCTATGTGTTTATTATTAAAGTTATGCTTATCATCACGGTCGTTATTATCACAGCTCTCTATTTCATCATCCAATATGATAAACAACACAAAATACTAAAATGTGTTTCACGGCGACAGAGGCATCGCGACTGATTTATTAAACAAACATGTAAATCATGTAAATCATACACTAATCTGTTACAAATACACAATATACAATGTATATATATATATGTCACTCCTTTCATGAATAACTATTACATTTTACCGCAACAGAAACCCCGCACAGATGAACTTCTTTTACATTTTACCGCAAAAAAATTAAAAAAATCTCCACCTCCGTGCGCCCCTACCTGTGCCGCCTGAATGACACGTACAGGTAACACGCGACAGTACGGCCCTAGTCTTGATTTGCACGTGCAAATCATAAACATAGCGCCCCCTATTGGCGACTCATACCACAGATAAAATAATTTCATCCTAATTCCAACTCGTCAAACGGTTGAAATTATGTTAACACCATTACCGTCTTAATTTTACATTTTGAACAAATATCTCCAATTGGGCCCCACCTTGCAGTCAACAACCAACACATGTTGTCGATAGTAAATTCAGGCGAATAACACGACTATTTTCATTCAACATTTATCAGATAACACTTATATGAGTGTTGTTCATAACATATCCATGCGTCAAACACTGGATATTGGATCATAATTAATGACAGACGGATACGTTATAATTATAGGGCTAACGTTAAGCTAACCAGTCAAGCAGCAGCTTCGCAAAGTCAGAATCTGTATTCAGTCCAAGATCCTCCTTCATCTTTCGCCATCTATCGATATCCTGTCTAAGATAAATTCTTGCCTGTCCTCTTGTCTGTCTGACTCCTTTCTGGCACTTTCTCTAAGGTAACTTTTAGGTCCCAGACGCCCTTTCGTGTTTGCGTCCGCCATTTTTATTCTTTCTATGCTTATACGCATGAGCAGTTTCAGGGTTACGAGCGTTAATGTATCAATTAGATCAAGACGCACTGTTTACATTCCTTATTTCTTTAGGTATCAATAAAAAATGATTGCAGTGACTTTTGATTTTAGTAATTAACAGAAAGTCTTCGTTTTTTAACATACTATTGAAAAATAGAACGTTTTATATCATTTTCTCGAAGTGTTTTTTGGCTAAACGTACTCAGCCTTCTCATTGGCTGAAATATCGAAAAGAGTTAGAACTCTTTAGCATCAATTTTCTGCCTAAATAATGCCACGATATTTCAAATCGCTATTTTAAAAGCATCCACAATTAGTTTATTTTTTTTAATAACAATACAATTACTATATTGTTAAAACAGAAGAACAGTGTGGTTGAACTATTGATAAATTTTGAACAATATATCTTACGGAATTTGCTCACGGACATCCCCGACCTCTGCTGCTGAAGAAGATCGAACTGATGTGATTCTGATCGCCTGCTGAATATTCCTAGAAAACAACCATATTTACCGTAAGTCAGGAAAAATATGGTTTCTTGTATCTTCAAAGTTTATTGTAACTGCATGACTTGATTTACAGTGTATTTACTGTATGGCGTGGCTTATGAATCCTTCTCGACGTGACGTAAGCGTACAGAACACTGTACGTGCGAGTTGGCGCCATGGTAAGAAGCTAGTCTAGGGGCTTGGTTTGAATTATCAACTAACAGCACTTATAGACAAACAAAACTTACAAAGAGAACATAAATTTTGCTTTAATCCTTGTCGTTGTAGCGAGATCGTCTTAATATATAACATCACTTTACCTCATTAGACGTCACAAAATCGGACTGTTCGTCCCACGCGCACACCCGCCGATATGACACTTTTTCAAGTTTTTCACACCCACCGCCATGACACATCTTCAAGTTTTTGAAGATAAAAAGTTTGCGCTTCGTAGGCAAGGTACATTTGGTGCTCATGATTTATGAATGATTTATTTTTAATACTGTACTGATCATGATGTTGACTTTGTTATAACTTTTTTTTTTTTTGTCTTGCAGTTTTATTTGATGAAGGTTGATTGTGCTGATTTCTCAAGATTTGTTAATGTGTATCAAAGTTCTTTGAAATAAATATATTCCTTCAAATAAAGTGCGTATAAAAAACCCCAAAATATTAACATGTTTATAATTATTAATTAACTAGAACGAAATATTTCCATATTTATTCATTTTGCGTGTCATGGTGACATTATCTAATGCATTGGATATCAGAAAAAGTAGTAGCTATAGTGAAAATATTGTAAATTTTGTATATATACGGAAGTCTGGTTTAATCTCATAGAACTATGTCTTTATAGATATAATTACTGGAAGAAAAGTCTTACCATGATACTTCAAGGAAAATAGGCATGTAAATACATTTAATGTAATTACTTGCACTTTTATCTATCTGAAATGCTGTGTACACCTTATCTTCTTTCCTCAACTACAACTACTGTAATTATAATAAGTAAGGACTATTACTTTGCAATACACTTAAAATAAAGAAATAAGTATATAAAATAAAGTCCCTTCGGTTTGTCTAAATCCCCATATTGATAGGATAGTAATTGCAACATCTTGGGTCTTTAGTCAACTTCATTATAGAGATATCTATCATTTGGCTTGTTAGCGATAGATATATGGTTGTGCGTATTTTGTTATTTTATTATTATTAATTTTTTTTACCTATTTTGATTTGTTCACATGATTGTCGTCAAATTTGAAATAAGAATTAAAGAAGATATAAAATCGCTTAAAATTAAGAAAAATAGCCTCTGGTTTTCTTATTTTAGTAATATTTGCACTCCAAAGTGTAGAAGTATGGGGAAAGTAATATAGCTTTGCGGTTATTTGTGAGCATTTTTCAATACATTTAGCCTCTCAGTACTTTCAGTACTTTGATTTAAGTATTATTCTACAATATGTGTAGGCATATTTCATACTATACACATCATATATACATGTGATGGAAACTTTCAGTGATCAACTCTAAACATATCACAAGATTGTTTTTAAATATAATAAAAGAGGAGCTGAAAGTGCATTAAAATTCAGGCGGATCTTTCATTGAACACAGGGATTACCATGGTTTCATACCAGTAATTTAATTGCAGCTTTCGGTATTTAAAAAAAAAAATTAAATGGTTATAACATTGGAATATTTCAAAAGTAGTGAGGTTGTGCATTGGGTTGATCACCCAGCTGTTCCATTATTCTGTTTCTTGTCAAATATGACGATTGAAATGTGAAATGAACAGAATAATCGTTGCGTTTTTTATTAACTCGTTCTACAATTCTATAATGTAAACATATTTCTTGAATGGATCTTTTTTCCTGTTCATAGCGAAATGAAAAGCAGCAGTTATCTACATATCTTCTAAGTCAACATGGGATATATATTTAGCTACTGTTTTTCACTGCCGCATAAAAATGAAGAAACACTTCATTTTATATCTATATTTCTGTACTTGGTAATTTCTATTTACAAGTTGAAGGTGTTTTGCGCTTTATAATTTCCTTGTAAATTTTAACATAAGGATATATATATGTACGGATAGGGATGGCAATTTATTAAAAGGTTTTTCGACAGTATATGTACTTGTTATTTAATCTAACGACACAGCATTATACATACTGCCTATGGTTCCTATATAGTGAACACGAGGAACAATAATCAATGTCATTGCTATTACTGTTGTTTAAACATTGTTTATCCTAAGTTCCGTGTCATTACCTTGGTGATGACAATTTTTATCCTCTGCAAAAGCAAACGTACATATCAGGTTCAGGTTGGAGATATTAATATTTGACAAGGTATCATTTCAATGTTTTTGTTTTAAATTGAAAACCGAATATTGTAAATTTGTCTATCGTCAGTTATACCCAATGAATCAACTACACTGTTTGTCAGTGTGCAGAAATCAGTTAAATGTGACACGGCATCATGGTCAATAATGCTCTCGGTTCCAGTACGTATCAATACCTAGTTTTACAACGGAGCGTAATTCAGTTTTTTTTTTTTTTTTTTTTTGCATTTTTAAAATCATCTTTAAATTTTATCACTTATATAACCTTTATCACATCACTAAAGACATTTATTCATTTGGTCGCTAGTTTCTAATTTGCCTTTATTTTTAGGCTAAACGTACTCAGTACGTATAGTCTATTGCGACGGCCTTTCAGACAAAATTTACTGATCCTGTCCCTCTCATTGGCTGAAATATCGAAAAGAGTTAGAACTCTCTAGCAGCAATTTTCTGCGTAAATAATGCCGCGATATTTCAAATCGCTATTTTAAAAGCATCCACAATTAGTTTTTTTCAGATAACAATACGATTACTATATTTCTTCTATAGTATGCAGATTTTAAACTATTAAACATACCTTTAGCATTTTATTTTGATTTTTGACGCTCCTTACCTAACCCTAACGGCTTGTGTTTCTCAAAAAGCTATAAAATTGACCAATCTGTGCTGGATGGTTGTACCCTTTGCCCTACTTTCGCTAGACGACAGGAGGCTGAGCGTTTGTATGTTGTTTGTAGGTAGCCACCAGTTACTACAAGGTGCGGTGTCAACTTATAACTTATAATGTATTATAATTCTTAATTATGATGGATTTGTTTTTCATGGTTACTATGACACTACAAAGTTTTAATGAAAAATATGAAACTAGGAAAAACAAGAAACATTTGTATGAAAGTTATTTTTTTTCACTTTAGTCATTAGGACTTTGAAAACCACAAATATTGAAACATTATAACAACAGGATCATAATCCGAACACAAAGTGCAACTTTGCATATGGATATAGATTTTTTCCCGATTATGTCATATGGTATATATACAACTTCCCCATCATTTTCATAAAAACGCACCTCACGAAACCCTGTGATTTGTCCTGATTTCTAGCAGGTCTTAATTTCATTTTCACGTAAGTTAAGTTGCTGTTTATTCTCCAACTATTATCTGACACGTGTGATATATGAAAGAAATAGAATCCTGTTAGTGAATTAAATATGTGTTGTGTTGATCGTTTCAATAAAAACAGGTATTTATAGTTATTTAATATCCAATGATTTTCATATTGCCGATGCTCAATGCGTTCGTTTGATATGATATCGAAATAGAATCGTGTTAATGAATTACAGGTGTGTAGTCGAGCAAGCTTCGATACAGGAAGTACAAAGTGGTTTCAATATCCAATAATTATCATAGCAGGCCTTCATATACAATCAGTATTATTAACACTCTCGCTTGTTATTCTAAACCTAAGTATTTCAGTAGTCTATTGAGGAACATCAAATCACTTGTTTATAATCAAATTCCAGCGATTGTCTACAGCATGAATATTGCTTGATCAATCAACTTTAATTTCGCGTATATTACAATGGACCTTAAGTAGCATTCTTGTTAACCCAAGGTTTAATATGTTGTCGAGAACATTATTTTGAATCTGGCAGTAAGTAGATTGTTGTGTAAATAGTAATGATTTGGGTGATATTTGCGAATTTCTAGGTTATTTGATTTCAGACTTGTGTAAGTCTAAGAACCTTGAAAGATGTGACCTTAAACATGAAAAGAATGCGCCTTTAAGGATGGAAACAACTGATTTGATGTGAACGCCACTTACATTAATTCATCATCATCATCATCATCATCATCATCATAAACATTAACATAAATAACTCTCCATACGAACCTTCCACACACATGTACACTCACCTACATACACAAGCCCACAGAGAGAGAGAGAGAGAGAGAGAGAGAGAGAGAGAGAGAGAGAGAGAGAGAGAGAGAGAGAGAGAGAGAGGGGGGGGGGAGAGATAGAGAGACAGACAGAGAGAAAGAGAGAGAGACAGGGGGGGAGAGGGAGAGAGAGACAGAGAGATAGAGAGAGAGACAGAGAGAGAAAGAGAGAGATGTGTATGTTTGTGTGTGTGT